TGAACACATAAATGTTTTTATATTAGTAAACAGCGGTTTTTTAAGTATATTTAAATCCACAAAAACTGATATTTAGACACAGAACTGCAGAAACAATCTGTAAAAACAACTCTGACATTTCATCACATTTAAAGTTGATGTGGTGAACAAGCACTGACACGTGATCATTTCTTAGAATCCTCTTTGTGTCCACGTGAGGAATTCAAGTCTGACGTTCTCTCTCTTCTTTCAACAGTTTTTCATCCTCCCTGACTCCTGAAGGAAAGATCTGCTGCTAACTGTGACTGTGCTGGGCAAGTACAGGGAAGTGAGTTTTTAAACAGCACAGTGGATTTTTAAAGCAATTTCCAGGCAAACATGAGAAACATCTGCCTGCGGCATCTGGAAACACTAGTGATGAGAGCGAAGGGAGTGAACCAGGAGCGAGAGGTCACAACTAACCAAAACAATGAGCTGAAAAATGAACTAAACTTCACTGTGCTTCATTATTAATTTGGATTAAAGCTGCTTTAAGAAAAAGACCCAACAATCATCTACTGCTAAAAGTACACTTCACTGAAGAGGGTGTTGTGAGTTGAGCTACCTGTTTGCTGTGTCATGCAGCAGTTTGGAAAAAAAAAAAAAAAAAAACCCTGGATGAGTTGCAGTGCAACATGGTTCACATTAGCAGTGAGCGAAGCACTGAGCATCTGCAGAGAACTGCTCCGAGATGCTTTCACAGGCCATAAGACACCCGCTAATTGCAGCCTGGGGTCATTAAGGTCTGTTTTGCAGACAGTGTTCAACGGCACAGAGAGAATAAACAACCACCACCATTTTCATTTCTTATTCATGGTTTTAATCACGGATGACAAAACAACCAGTGAATAAAGAAAGGGAGGAGAGGGAAAAAGAAGTTGGCATCGACTGCTTGTCTTTCGTTTGCCTTAAATGTCTTTGGTACAGTCTGTTGTTGTGTAGCGAGAGGGAATTGAAACTGTGGTGAATTAGGAAATGTGTGTAAGTGAGGGGTGTGGGGGGGTGCTGACATTAACAGGCTGGCGTGGAGACGAGCTGGCAGGAGCCCAGCACACAGCGCTGACAGTGTGAGGTCCTCTCTGCCCATTCTAATGAGGTATTGTGAGGGTCTGAACTCAGGCCTGCAGCGGGGCCCCCTGGGGGCCGCATGCAGTTGGGTGGGCAGTGGAGGACCGCCAGAGGAAGTCCATGGCAGCGGGATGAGAGGGCTGAAGTGCGTCAGTCCCGCATACCAGATGGTTGAACAACCTCAGTGAACGGAGGGAATGGTATGAAACGTCTTCAAGGTCACATATACAGGAAACTGCATCAGGCGCAGAAGCCGTTTCCTGTGGCCCCAGCCGGCCCCTGATGTCAGGCCTTTGTCTGATAATATGAGATGCTTGGACTTATACAAAGAATCTTGCGGAAATACTCCCTGTATTATTCACAGTGACGCGTTTGTAGGGATTGTTGTTGAAGGACTGGGACAATGTCTATCGCACACTTCCATGTGTGTTTTCTTGTGTTTGATATAATGAGCTCATATGTAAAGAATTTCAAAAGTAAACAGGATCGAGTTGATGTAAATCTAACGAAAATCATCCCAGGATCATTATATGTGCTTTGCCTCTGACAGCTCATTCTCTTTGACAGGTTTACATAACGTGTAGCACTTTATCGAGCACCAAAGGCGACGTCTGTTTTCATTTCACCTCCTACCGCAGTAGATGGAAATCTACAGTTTTACAGTGCGTCAGTGAACGCCCAGGGTCTATAGGTTTTAATTGCAATCAGAAACTGCAGCAGCTTTAAAGGGAGAAGACAAACTAATCAGTGAAGTCATAGGGATCAGTGTTTTTGTTGGAATGAGAAAACGGCATCTTGTCCATCAGACACCGTTGACCATCCCTGCTCCACAGTGTTGTTTTATATGATCCTACAGACCCCCAGCCTCAATACAACATTAACCCCACTGTCCCATGGTCATTGCATGTCTCTGGTGTTATTGTATCATGCTGTAGAAGACATAAGGTAAAACTTTAGGTGTGTTTAAGAATAACAGCCTGCAGCTAAATTACATTAAAAATTATGAAGCCATTTAAGATCAATGTAATCACTGTATTTGCAGCAGCTCATCATTATTAAATTATGGTCTATTTTCACAGATTATGTCTTTAAATTAAAATATAATTAAAGCTATAAAATAAGTCCATGGACGTTCCACTGGAGATATTTTATCAGTTTTAGCTTTCTGACCTGTAGGCGACAATCTCCATGTCTCTGGCCATCTTCTCACTGAGCAGCTCCTTGTAGTCTTCACACTGCTCCTTCATCTGTGCCTGGAGGTCGGCCTCCTGCTGCCGCATCTCACCCATGGTGAACTGGACAAGAGACACAGAGACACAGACAGACAGACAGACAGAGACAGAGACAGACAGACAGAGACAGAGACACACACACGCACACACACACGCGAGAAGAGTTTAAATGGCAGTGTTAGTCCAGAAACCCTGGTCGATTATAGCCTGTGACTACAGTAATGAGCCAGCTTTCATACCTTCAACTCAGCAATCTCATCCATGTATGCAGCTCTCTTCATCTCCACCTCATCCTCCAGCTCCTCGTTACACTTCTCAAGCTCTGCAAGCTCCTTTTGTAGCTCAGAAATCTACAGGAACACAAACAGCAGCAAGTATTCGTTCAGATGAGCAAACACAGCCGGATGAATAAATTGGAGATGTCTCCAGTCATTTGTAATGGAAACTCTACGTCCCATTTCTTCTGTTCCACTCTTCTGTTCGTCTAGCAGACACAGAGCAATATTAGCATCATTTCAGTCATCAGAAAACCACAAAACCCACATTTACTGCACATTTAGATCGGTTTTTCCATTAAGTGAGAACAGTATCTGGGTTTTTAGCTGCTAGATATTTGACTTTTGTCACTCTTGTTTACTGCAGATGAGGATGATGAGATCAGAAACACAACAACAAAAGAAACAAAGTCTGGTGATGATCACTGCGGGTTGGTAACTAAAAGTAACCACTTAGTTTTTATTTTTGGGGTATTTCACTTTTATTGATGGGAGGGTGCAAGTGTAAAATAAAGAGAGAGAGTGGGACAGGAAAATGTATTTATCCATATTATATACAAAAAAGAACAGAAATTGAGCTCTAACTAAACTTAATTAATACAAATAAACCGGGTTACTTTACTTCGTTAATAAAGTACACATGGAGTATCCCTCCTCTGGTGCGAGGCGGAGTCGTGCTGCCTTGAGTAATTACAGCAATCACACAAGTTCAACAATGAGATGTTGCAGGCAGATGGGGGATCCAGGCGGTCCTGCTCGTCATTCAGCAATCCGGCCAGTTACTACCCTTCGTCTGCTGACGACTCCCCGACATGGTCAAGTCACTTAACTCACACACTCCTCCGCTCTCCCTGCTGTGATGAGTGAGGCCTGGCCGTGTTTGTGTTTAGTGGGAGTAGTTGTAGTGTACAACCCCATAAGTGTCTGCCCCATTATACTATGTATTTCTGCGTACGGGTTGATTTCCCTGCAATCTGTTTGCTTGGCCATGTTGTGTCTCAGTGAGAAACCAATCCCGAGGCATCCATCACAGCCGAGAGAGGAAACAGAGCAGATCAGGCCGAGCTGTCCATCCGTCAGGCGGGATCGGGCAGAACTGGGGCTTGTGTGTGCGCTACGTACTAGGGAGAGGTGGATGATGTTGGGACAACTGTGCTGTGGTTACAGAGGCGCACTGTTTATTTAAAGAAGGTGGAGGCAGAGCCACAGCCGCAGTAATGAGAACCAAACCACCATGTTTGTTACAGATGTGGTTAGGTGTCTGCTGTGGTCCGACCAATGGTGGATGTAGGCGGATTTAAAACCGAGAGGAGGTTGTTTCTATGATTTTATTTGTGAGTCACAGTTTCCCGGTGCGTGTTTCCTGCAAAGCACGGTTGCTTCTGTGGCATTTTTCTGAAAAATATCCGAAGAAGGTTTATTCCCTCTCTTCCATTTGCAGAGGAAGTCTCCAGTCAGTGTGTGTGTGAGGTTTTAAGGTGTTTATGACGCTGCAGCTGCTCTGACAGTCTGAACTTAATAACTGAGGACACCAACACAATAAATCCCGTCTGAGCTGAAGTCGAGCCCTTCACATCTCTGGCTGAAAGTGTCCGCAGAGTAAACACTCTGGTCAGCACCATCTCCCACACTGTTGCTCAGCTGTCACTCAGCTGCTCTCCACTCCCTGGGTCTATGCTGTGGGAAACCATTCATTTGCAGCATTACATCTGATTTAGGAGCTGATGGCCGATGCAGAGTCAGTTGTGAGCTTTAAGGCTCCTCTTCTGTGTCGGTAAAGAGGTGGGAAAAGCATCATGGGCATATAGGATCTGTAGGTAGCAGCTGAAAGGTTTAAATGATTTATTAACGAGACCATTAAGGGTCTGTTCACCTAAAAAAAACATTCCATAAAGAGCAAATTTCTCGGATTAATCCTCAGAACAATCTCACCACAGTCGACTGTTTAACAACTACATTATGTCTTAAAGCAATAGCTTGACATTTTTGGAAAAATTCCCATCAGCCACTCTCATGTCTGTAGAGTAAAGCTACTAAAAGCTAATTTAGCTTAGCATAGAGCCTGGAAATCAGGGGGAAGCAGCTATCCTGGTTACTCAAATTGTGATAGCTAAATTTCAGAAATTGGACAAACATCACTAAGATAACAACTACCTATAATGACAGAAACCATCTTTGAGAAAAAAGTATTTAACGTGCACCAATGTTTTTAGTTTGGTCCTTGTCCCCTCCACTAACATGGAGGAGGCAAGGTTTAAGACCTATACTGCAGCCAGTCACTAGGTGGAAATCTAGATATTTTGGCATCACTTTTGGAAGCCGTCATGTCTGGCATACAGTCTGTGGTTTCCAGTCTTTTTGCTAAGCTAACCAGCTGGAGACATTTACATACTTGAAAATCTACTTTTTTTTTTTTTCCTTATCTTCTTTTACACATTTTTTGAGATATAGATAACGTCTCAAATCTCAGAGACAAGACAACCTAACCCTAAATCTATGTAATTTGAGTGAACTTAGACTTTAAAGAGTCAACTCACCAGCATCTTCAGCTCACTGACGTCCTTTATCTTTGGCGAGTCTGTGACCTTTGACCCGACGGCAGCTCCCACTTCCAGTTGTTTTCGATCACCGCTGAGAACTGCAGCAGGGGAGGCAGCTCCGCACTCGTACTGCAGAGACAGACAGAGAGAGATCAGTGATTTAGTGAAAGTTTTTAGGATGAAAACCTTTTAGTCTCAGTCTCACAGAGACCACAGAGGACAGTTCACTTTGACGGGGGAGCAAAGAGCAATCAGAGCCTCTCGCACGGGCGGATGGTTGAAGCTCTCCTTGTGTACGGCACATTCCTGATTAGATGGAACAAGTGCAGCCGAAATGAGCAACATGAGGGTGCACAGGTGTGTGGGAGTCAGCCAGCAATCACCATTACTGTTCAAACCCAATAGCAATCATTGCAGTATTGAGACAATTGCATCTCATAATCGAGGCCAGGCTCAGATGGACAGTGTCCAGCTGGCGAGAGAAGAGAGGGAGGGAGACTGAGGGAGAGAGAGTAAATAGAAATGGAGTTTAAGGGGGGACAAAAAACCTGTATGCATCTAGACAGTCACAAAAATATATTGTCAACCATGCCTCTAAATGAAGGACACACACACAAACACATAAACCAGCATCCACTCCACTGCTGCCGAGGAGCCTGGGAAGGCGGCCAGCAGTCTGATTACAGCTCTGACCTCTGAACCAGACAGACATCCTCGCCCCAGAGGGGGTCAGACCCACCGGAGCTATTGTCTGACCCCAATGCAGCACCTCTGCGCTTTGTAACACACACACACACACACACACACACACACACACACACACACACACACACACACACACACACACACAGAGAGACAAAGGCAGAACTGCAGCTCTGATTCTCAAGTTCTTCCCTCGTGTTGTGTTAAGGGGGAAAGAAAACAAGTGGGAGAATCGTTGTGTGATTTGTGAAAGCTGAGATTTACGTCTGAACCTGAACGGCCCACTGCAGAGGGAGAGCAATGTGATGAAAATGGGAGAGGTCAGGTGGTCAGTAGGTGTCAGTGGTGTCCATGTACGAGAGGGGGAAGAATTGTTCTAATGTTCTTTGACTAAATAAAGTGCAACAAAATCCAGAATATAGTTAAGTCAATAAATCCTGATGTACAGGAAGCATCAGACTTAAATGTGCACCAGAGACTAAAAGTAGCAGCAGATTAATACGTCCAACAATGAGACTATAACAACAAATGTAAATGTCATATCTCCATCTTGTTTTCTACATCATTTTCCACCTTCTGTGTGTCGACCGGTGTTTTTACTTCCATCATTTCTTTGTGCCCTTTTCTTCCATGATGGTTTAATGGCCCCCAGCTGGAAAATGAGCTCCACCAGCTGTTGATCTTGAAGCACTCAACTCTTAATATTCACATTCACAACAGTAGTGGACAGAAATCCACATTAACTCCCATTTTCTTCTGTCAATTTTCTGTAAATTCACTTAAAATTACAGTATTTAGATTAGAATGTGAATCTGAATATAGACATGAAAATTTTAAAGGTCACCACTGGTTTTATCTTTAACTATGTATTTTATCAGCTTATCGTGTTTTTAATGTAAAATATGAATCTGAAAATAACAATGAAAATAACAATTATCTATAGCTGATAACAGAATTACAAAACATAAATACTTAGAGGTCAAGTACGTAAAGTAAAAATATGAGTTCAGCCCCTGGTGTCTAAGTGAGTGTATCTTAAATCAGAAATAGGACCATGAGTCTAAATATGCTCCTGCAAAGCATTTGGCTTCCAGTTCAGGTCATGTTGTTGGGTTTTATGGGACAGTGTGTGGTACCTGGAGACTCTCAGCCAGCTGGCAGTAGAACTCCTTCACATCCAAGACCGGAGTCATGTCCGGGCTGCAGAATCCAAGAGCTGCCACTCCTCCTGCGGTCCAGTCGGCTGGATCCAGCAGACTCTCCACCTCCTGCTCACACAGGCCACACATCAGTGGTGGAGAAATATTTAGAAACAGTGGTCGAATTGAAGTATTTAAGTATTTTCAGTCAAACTGAGTTAAGTGCAATTTTTGTTACTTTGGCTTTTCCATTCCGTTCTATTTGTTAACTTCCCTTCATTTGCTCAAAGTAAAACTCGTGTATTGAAAGTGTTAAACTAACGAAGTAAAGAAGTACTTACGCCCTTTTGAAAATCATACTATTACACTAATGCATTGATGTGTTATTATACTGTTAAACGTTCTCTGTGTACATTCTAATTTGTAATGTAACTAGTAACTAAAGTTGTCACATAAACGTAATGGAGAGAAGATTAGTATATTTCCCTCTGAACTGTACTAGAAGTATATAAATGGAAACATGTATAAGTACCTAAAATATGTCATAAAAACCTGCATGTGACGAGGTTAATTACCTTTCACCACTGCAAAAACAAAACCCCTCCAGTACATTTTGATGTATTTGCACGTTCACTAAAGACCTCATCATGTATGTCTGCAGTTCCCAATATGTACAATATGTACATAAAAAAACCCAGACATCCATCAGAAGGGAAATGAACTGTTACAGAGCTGCAGTCTGACGTTTCCCTCCTTCCCCTCCACCATAACGACATGACTGTCGATTTGTCGGGGGGTGGGGGGGGACATGGGGAATCTGCAAGTGCTGATAATAACAACAGTTAATAAAACAAAGGGAACTTCTGTTTTCATTCGGTATTCAGCCGCATTTCCCCGGACCGTGGGTTATCGAGCGTGTCCCAGAGGGAGTGTGTTAAACGGTGGGCAGCCCGGCTTTGCAGTGAAAAACACAGAGTGATGGAGCTGATGGTGGTTCAGCTGCCTCTCTCCTCCTCTCCCTGCCTGCAGCCTCCTGATGCTGGGCCACGTCTGTCATCTCCTGGTGATGAGGAGAACACTGTGGACGGTGTGTGGGTACGATATAGCCGGTGAGTTTTGTATGGTTGCGGACATATGTATTAAAGGGGAGTTCATCATTTTATGGGAGAATGCTTATGTGCTTTCTTGCCTCGAGTTTGATGAGAATACTGATGCCACGGCCACTTCTGTCTGTCGAACATCTATCTGACTAACTAAGCTAATTTTTTCCTTGAATCATTTGTATATATATATATATATCATAGACCGTACATAAAGATGGACGACATGACAGCTCCCCAAAAGTGAGACCAAAAAGAAAAGATCGTAAATCCCACCTCCTCCATGTTAGTGCATGGTCAATTTTTTCTCAAAGATGGTTTCTGTCATTTTAGGTTGTTCTTATCACACTGATGTTTGTCCAAGGGGTTGTTTTTCCTGTAAGTTTGGTTTCAGTTATTTATTTGATGCTATAAAAACGAGGTGAAACATCATGACTGACAGCAGATATTGACTGATGACTCAATACCGCTGCAGACTCTGGCTCAAGTGCACAAGACTTCAGTGTTTGTATGCACGATATTTTGGCTTCAGTTCTGTATAGCAGGAGGAAGAGGAGATGCGTCGTCCATCTTTACAGTCTCTGACAAAACAATAATAATAGATTTATTCTGATGTAATGTTAAATGTTTCATATATTTTATGTTTTATGTGTTTTATCCCCCTGTGTCCAGGTTTCTGTTGACATGGCTGAGTTTGGCTACAACTCTTCATCAAGGTGACTGAGGTCATCACATCTGTGTCTGTCTCAAGATTTCTGTGTGTTTCTATGTGCTGCATGTCGAGTCATTTTAAAAGCCATAAACAACTCCTTTCGTCACACTGCAGAGAAACATCTTCTCTCCCTCTCACCGTCTTGTGCCGGGCCTCCATGTTGGCCAGCTGCTCCTCGTAGATAGCCACTTGCTCCCTCAGAGCCAAACACTCTGCTGTCACAGCATCCACAACCTGCGAAGACAATCAAGTTAGCAGAGGAACAGGGCGGAAAGCAGAGAAGTTGAACTTAATTTGTGAAGGTGTCTGAGAGGAGCGCTCTGCAGCTCAGGATGTAAATCACACCACAGGTTGGAATGAAGTGAAAAAAGTCTTTGTTTCCAACCCTGAACACCCATTTAAAAAAAAAATCATCAGCACCAGCACATCCACCCTGTTTCAGTGAACAGCCAGAAGACGCCGCAATGCAGAGGAAGGGGGAGGAGGAGGAGGAGGAGGAAGAAGATGAGACGGAGGCTAACTAGACACAAAAGCCCCGTCCACCAATGCATTCACCAGCAGGGGATCTCAGCTCATCCACTCTTTTTAAAAGAACCAGATTAACTGGCATTGGATGCAATTGCTGCGTTTACAGCTGAGCACATGCAGGGAGGGTTTGGTGTTGAAGGTGCAGAGCCTTGTTCAGAGGGTGGCAGGGTCCCAGGGTCTCTGATGGACAGCAGAGGGTGAAGTAGTGCGTCCTGCTGCTGTGTTCAAAGATCACTCAGCAGAGGGAGAGAAACTTGTTGTAAATCAAAGTCTGCAAAACTTAAAAGCTGAATTCATTAATTTTTCTATCTCTTAGGGAGAACGCAACGAGCTGTATTCAATACGTATTAACACAGCAAAGTTATTTTGGCAAGAACACTGGTGTAGTGGCCTAGTTTTTGAATATGACTTCAGATTTGGGTTTCTGTCCACTTGATCAATGTCCAATGTTTACTCTCCTTTTAACTCTGAGGGACAAATCTGACTCTTTGACCTCCAAATGTAAAAGTAAAAGATGTTCTTGTGTTTTTCTAGAGTCTCTAGAGGAGCTCACATTCAAACTGAACCTCGTCATTAGATTCATTGTTAAAGACATTGGTGCAACTTTAAGGTTCATCAATATCTTCACCAACTGCTTTTCTACCCAGATAAACCACGTAATCAATTATCTCCTCCAAGGAGGTTATGTTCCCATTTGCATTCGTTTGTTAGTTACACAATAAATACTCAACTGGTTTCACGAAATCTTGTGGAGGGGCGGAAAATGACTCAAGGAAGAACATGTTTAGTTTTGGGGCGGATCCGGATCAGGGGGAAGATCCATTAATTTATTTAACATTGCAAGATAGGACGGCAATTTTCTAATTAATTTGTGGATCTTGATGAAAAAGAACATCAGGCATGTCAGGCATGTATGTGGGACTGGTATTTATGAGTGTGTGCTATTTGGTATAGATCCAAATAGAAGTCGGGAACTTGTAAATGTGGTTTCATAAGAGAACTATTGGCAGAGGTATGTACTCTATTCAGCCACATTCTAGTTCAACCACTACATTTTTCTGTGACCACTTCATTCATTAATTCCTTTGTATTCAAATCATGTCGAATAATGTTTCACTCTGATGACTTGCTCTGCTGGTTTTCTGCCTCCAACGTCTCGCAGGACAAGAAAATCGCAGTGAGACAAGTCAGGGTGGAAATCTGTGGGCCTGGAGAAGGGATCAGAATTGGCAGGAGGAATGCAACACAATAGTCAGCAGTGTAATTCAAATTAAACCAAATGTGCATTGCTTCATCACTGTCAGTTTTCCATTATGTTGAGAGAATCGTTGTGGGTTGAGATGTGTAGTAATCGCTCCTCTCCTCCGCATCTCTGCTCTTCTTCCTCTACCTCCCTGCTGATTTCACACCGAGTCCTGTCACTCTACAGCTGCTTCCAATTCAGAACCAGAGGACGGAGCCAGGAGGAACATTACGGCACCGAATTACAGCCCTGTGTTGCATCTGTACGGGAGAAATTAAACCCCCCCCTCTCTCTTCTGGACCGGCCTGGAGGGGGATGGCCTCTGGCATTCGTGAGGGATGAGGGGGAGAGAGGGGTTTGGGGAAGTTGGTGGCTCAGGTTACAGTGGGCCACCAGCCCAGACTGTGAGGCTGCTGCTGATCAAGACCTGTTGGGTGGAGATGCAGAGGAGCTGCTGGGCCTGAGATTCAGCTGCAGGAGGAAGAGGGGAGGAGGAGCAGTGAGGAGCTACTGCCATCTAGTGCTTCAGAGGCACTGTCACAATAAAGGTCTGATAATGGACAGCGGGAAATGTTCTTTTTGAGCTGATCAAAAATAACTTTCATTATTTAACCTAAACTTTACCATTTAAAAAACAATCTGCACCAGTAAATTCCTGTTTACCCTAAGGATGTTTTGGTCAGGTGGTTAAAAGAATAACGTAGAAACGAATGGATGGATTTACCACGAAACTTGGAGGAGGGATCTGGTTTGGGTCAGGGGAGAAACCACTAGTTTGGAGCAGATCAAGGATTTTTTTTTCAGTCTCGTCTGATTTTCCTTTTAATACACTTTAGTTTCTTTTATGCTGATGATCTGTGTTTTTATGCTTCTTTTATTTCTATCAAGAACTTTGAATGACCTCTGTGTAATACAGATATATCAGCCTCGCCTGAGGAGGAGCAGCCTTTGCAGGTTGCAGGACTGGAGGGGCTGAGAAAAGGTAAATGCTTAAACTAGATTATATTTACAATTAAACACCAGTCATAATGTCTTTCCTGTCTCACTCTCTCTCCTTCAGCCCAACGGGTCGACACACATTGAGTTTGGTTCTGCTGGAGGTTTCTCCTCGATACCACGTAAAGTACCTTGACCAAATGTATGTTGTGATTTGGCACAGAGCAAATAAGATTGAATTAAATTGGAATATTGATCAGCATTTATATCATATCTTCTATTAAAGGAAACTAATATAGATCTTAATGCTGTTCAGTGTTCATGACTTCCAAGAATCAATATGTGCAGGCTTGAAGGTTGTTGTAAAGTGATGGCACTTTGCCTTTCACTTTACAGTAATCCATTAAATTTGCTTCCTATAACTTGAGTCGTCTCCTTCCATCACACGGTCACATGCCTGTGTCTGTAGTGTATTTACTACCTCAGCCACATCCTGTCGTTCCTGCTGGTAGAAGACCCTCTGCTGTGCCACCTTCTCGTAGCCGCTCTTCAGACACTCCAGCTCTTTCTGCAGCTCCTCTGTGTCACACAGAATCTCGTCCTGCAGGGAGGGTGAGGACAGTGATGGGTCTTGACAGGGTCATAGATCAGCCTGGTGTGTCACTGTGCAAGCTGAGGTAACTGAGACATGCAGCAGACACACCCAGAAGCTGCAGCAGCAACCTACCCTCTCCCTGCGCAGTCTCTCCACCACCGCATCCAGGCTGTAGTCAGGTCGAGCCACGGCGGAGGTGATGCTGGAGGAGGCTGGGCGGCTGCTCAGCTTCTCCTCCAGCTCCACAATCTGACATTCAAGAGACTCATTCTCCTCCTCAAAACAACGAGCCTACAGGGCAAACAGAAACAGGGACAAATATAAATATATACTGATTCACTGCATCATTTACCAAAGAGAGGACGCAGCAGAGGGGAAACAATGTGCTGATGTGTCACTGTTCCTCCTCACCAGTTCTATAAGCCCCACCAGGCGGTCGTTCAGGGCAGCGATGATGGTGCGGTCCTGGGAGAACCGGTTCAGACCCTCCTTGTTGAGAGACTTGGCAGCGACAAAGTCCAGCTTGTCACAGCCGCACTTGTCGACGGCCGCATTCCTGAGAGGAGGATGCAGAGCACTGATAAAGACTGCACCGAACATTATGAAGGGCCACAGAGGTGATTATGTGACCCAGTATAGTTTACACACATTCATTAGAGGACAAACATCATTGTTTGAATGCATCTCTACATGTCTGCCTGACCCATTATGATAAAAGGCTGTGATATTCCATGAGCACAGAGGGCATCTGACATCAACATTCAAAATTTCCCTTAGGGGCGACACTAACGCCCCTATTTAACATTTATAAGTATTTATATACTTGAAACATGTTTTATAAGACACTATAATGTACCTTAAAATGTCAAGAGCTGATTAAATTACAGTGTTATTATGAGAACTGTTAATATACGATGATTAATGATCTTATTATACCAAATATAATTTACATCCACCTGCTTGCAACCACATTATAGTGAATTCTAAACCATGTTCTTTTATAATAACTTAAATCTCTAAAGGACCTTTCCAGGGACCCAAGGACACATTACATATTTAGCTCATTTGTTTTACAAAGGAGTATTGAGTCATATTTTCAATGTCCAATGGGGTGTGGCATTTGCAAATGTATTATCTGCTGCTTTTAAGTGTTAAGATATCTGAGACATTTACATATAAACACTAAGAATCACAACAGAAATATTTACTTCTGCTCAGAAACATATTTCTGAGTGAAACAACACTGTGACCCGTCACTAACATTTTCAGATTGTTGTGTACAGATCTCTCGGGCAGAGTACTCGCACTGACCTGACAGAGGCCCGATACTGCCCCGCACACTGCAAACTCAACCCTTCAGCTCGACTCCAGGTATCCTCCTCAAACAGCCTCCGGTAAGAAGACACCCTGAGCGTGGCCATGGCTTCACACAGATTCAAACTGAGCTACAACACAACAGGCAAACAAGAGTCAGCAGGTCCACGCTGGGGTTTTTATATTCACAGGGAATGAGAATGTAGCACCGAAGCGATGGATCTCTCATCGGCCGCTGAGGAGACTAACTATAGCGTGAACATCAACCTGCAACGATCTCACATGCTCCTGAGGAGTGAGCCCCAACATCCATCAAACAGCTGATGTTTTTCTTAAGGAAGCAGTGACACGGACAAAAGGGTTGAGCAGGAAAACCAAACAGCTTTATACATAGTTTTATTTCTGTTAAATAAATTAAAAGTACCAAAAACTCTGAAAAGTTGAAAACAAGTGCGAGTGTTTCTTTGCGTACCTTTAAAATGTGCCTCTAATTTTCTGAACAGAAACTAAAAGACGAGAAGCACAATGACTCCACAAAAATACATCAGTTGATACAGTGGCATACGACAACACTTAAAATCAAGAGTTATTGATTATACTGATTTATCCATTTGACATGTTGAGGGCAGAATTTCTGACAAAGTTAGTAACTGAATCGTTCACTTCACACACGAGCCACCTTTTGGCAAAGCTTGTTTCAGTTAAGACCAATAGAGTCACGTGTTCTGATGAGGACAAGGCAGAAGAAACTGCGCAAGAATTTCAGTGCAGCAGGCTTTTCCTTTTAAGTGTCACGACTGTCAGAATCGTCATATCTCCGAGGAGAAGATATCACGACGCAGAGGTCGTTGAGCGTCTGAGAAGAAAACCTGTGCCTTCACTACGCTGCAGAAGATACTGAGAAAAGCAAATGAATGTCACAAGTTTGATTTTGTTTTTGTCAACTGGGAAATAATGCTTTGGAAAATCTCTTTGGAAAAAAATGGTTTAAGAGGAAATACTGGTCATTGTACACAGTGCAGAAGTTCCTTATTTCAATAACCATGACGTTTTTTGCAACAGCGATTGCAGATAAGAAAATCTTGTGGCACAAATGAGAAAGCTGCACAAAGACCTGCAGAGTAATGAGCCATTAAATCTCGCACATAGAAACTGTTGCATCACTTAAAGCAAGTATTACTCATGTGGATTCACCAGCACACAGGCATGAGACTGTGAATAATGAGCTTTAGAGTTGTGGAGGAAATTGAGGAAAAAGACAAAAACACGAGACATAATATTACTACCTCCAAGACAAACATGACAGACTGGAGACACCGTCACAGACTTGCACCACCATACCAACGGTCACATGAAACAATCACAGCAGTATTTACACCATTTAAGACACCGAACACCACAGAGCGCCACTCTTGATTCCGGTCGACCAGGAAGTTAGTTGGTGTGCTAACAGACTTGTTTTGTAACTCAGCAGGAACTGGCAAAACGAGATGAGAGGCTCACGAGAAAGTTTGATAAAAAGGATGATAAAAAAATGAGGAATATTTCCATTGAACAGAGGCAGAGCTGAAAACAAACTGTACTGTCGTATGAATCTACATCTATTCACATGGTGCAAACTTGGAAGAAAAAAATATATAAATAACAGTTAAAACATGACAACAAAAATGATCTTGGATATCTCAATGCTGTCCCCTCAAATAAAATGATGATTGTCATGATTTATCTTAAGCTTAAACATTCTTTGTTATAGATTTCCACAATTATCCTCTTTATTTACTTACATCTATTTAATGCTTTGATCAGTCAGAAACCATCAGCCACAACATTAAAACATTGGTTTTAATTTTAAAGCCGATGTTTGTTCTTTTAATTCAGTCTACTTCTACTTCTTTTAGTGTGATTGAGTCTTTTCCTTAGCATTTATGAATACATAGTGTTTTTACATTCATACCACTAACTATTCAGGGGTTATTTTGGCATGAGCACCGACAGTAAGAAAGGTCAGCTGAGGATGAGGAGGCACAGGTCCTGTGGGTCATCTGAAAGTGCATAGGCATCAGTCCAAACCTCTGCCCAGTTCTCCCAAATCCAGTGAACGGTCAGACTGTCAGTGAAGATATGACACTTGGTAACGTCGTCCCATTTCTAAAGTCAGTCTGTGGTAGCTCTTACATGAGAGTTTGTGTCAGGTGTGGTGCAGGACAGCTGCACTGGTCTCCGCACAGACGACAGAATACCAAGTGGATCGTGTGGACACAGTCCTATGGGTCAAGGTCCTGTGCCAAATGTAAAGTCAGGTAGAGAGTTTAAGTCCAAACCCTACAGATGCTGTGAGGGAGTCTTGACCTTGTTTACTCCTCGTCTCCCGCCATGAGGAAACCCAGAACAAAGTCGATGGCTTTCTGCCGCTCGTGTGACGTCTGCCTGCCCACCAGGTTGGGAGGGGGTCGGATAAGGAGGCTGGCAAAGAGGGAGGCTAGAATACCAAAAAAGGAAAGAATATTAGCTACAGAATTTTTAACCTTGTCATCTATTACTTTAATTACATTAATACAAGATCATATGTTCTCTGTAATCAGTAGTGTCACTATAAGCACTAACACATTCTTTGATTATTCTAAATACTTCACATATTTGATAAGTAGCTGATCCAACAGAAGATAGTGAACATAAAGAAGAAGCAGTCACGTCATACCTATGAGGCTGGCCGTCAGGTTGTTGTTGTGTGAGTGCTTGAGAAGTTCCTTCAGAAAGGCCATTAAGTAGCGGAACACGTTGCGGTGAGCCCGAGGCAACTGGGAGATCAACTGTGATTCATCAAAGTGAAGACAGATTAGTCATACAGATACATTCACCAAACTACATTCTGTCTGTGCAGCCACATGCAACACAATTCAAAGGTCTTCTTAGAAAAATGGCCTCATTCACTAGGAATCATATTTTCCGAAGTAGAACAGAGTGGAGGTCACTGCACCTGTTTGCAGAGGCGGCTGTCGTGAGCGCACTCGAGGCACCGTTGGTAGAGCTCATAACAAACCACTGGTTCTGGCACCGCCTCCAAGAAGATCAACAGAGCCTCGGCCACAGAGTGGTTACAACCGGCTGTGTGAGGAGTTAGGGAAGAATAAGAAAACCTGGGGCCCGCTGTGGCCCCTGGACAACACATTATAAACCTGGTCATCTCCAAAGACCTTGTCATATTATCTCATGGAGCTTCTAACACTAACACAGCCTGAGACATTGAGAAATAGGCAACAAACCTTTATCGCACAAGCTGGACAAGACAAGGTCATATTATTACCACAGTAACGCTCACTCACTCACTCACACTGACCAACACACAACAGGCTGCATGTGTTATGAGTATGTGAGAGCTCATGTGTCTTCAGTTTTATTTGACATCTGTTCTCTCAGTGATCGTAGAACTGGGTCTTGGTGAAATCTGGGTCAGTGTGAACCTGCTTGATAAATGAGGATACGGATGGAGTCGGGGATGCTGGTGTCCAGACAGTCGATGATGCTCTGCAGCTCCTCTTGTAGGCCCGGTGTCTGGAACAGGTCCTCCTGAGAGACGCACAAAGACAACACATGGGACGTTTAACACAGCTCTCACTATGACCTACATAATGCGTGTTCAGACACAACGTGAGTTTAGAGGGGGCAGGGTTACATGCAAAGTCAGTGTTGGCCAAGGCAACGTGAGAAGAGTTTGTTTGTGTTGCCCTGAGATCAGATGTACAAATGGTACATAATAATAAGCATAATGTGAGAATCTGGAGGATAAAGAGGCAGTATAATATGAAATTAGACAATCTGGGATTTTAGGTCAGTTATTAGACCATTGTCATTTAGTGAAATTAAGAATAAATGCAACCATTCACTAAACCTCAGAGGCTGTAGACGCACCAACATCCATTTAAAAAAAATTATCATCTCATGTTCACAACTTGTTTGAAAATTACTTCGAAAATACAATAATATATAACACGATTGTAAATTCTTACTTTTGAGGAAAACAAATTGAATAGGAGTCAGTTTTGTGACGGAGTTTTATGTCCTCGCAGTGAAACTTAAACCTGTGCTATTCGTCGGTGGCGTCTCACCTGATCACAGGACTTGGTGAAGAGGTGGTTGACCAGGATCCAAACCTCCTTGGGGATCTTCAGAGGTTTGTCCTCAGTACTTGCACCATCCGCCATCAGGAAGCTCACCTTTGACTTTTCCTGACAGGAGAAAATTCGAACATGATTCACATTGACAAACTGTAGCGCGGACACTCGATTATCTCCTGGAGTAAGACGCCAATATTTCCCCCATTTATTCATTACAGGAAAAATGATCTGAATTCACGAAATGATCCTCACACTAGGTGATTCATAACGCTTTGATCGAGTGAAACACAGACTACTAGACTGTAAATCACTCATCTGATCAATTAGTGATAGATGGAGCAGCAGTCAGATCAAGATTATCTCTGGGGTCTGAAGACTTGGAGTAGAGCCATTTTACTAAGAGCTGAATATCACATTCTTTTTGTCTCTGCAAATGGATCCCTGAGACTCATTAGAGACGTCCAAAAATAACCCCAGCTGAGGCTGCACAGCCCGGAGAGAGGCCTTTAATGCTGAATGACGCTAATATGAAAAACTAATGTGATATTCTTCAACATGTTTTAACACCCAAAGTTCTTCTTGTGATCTTTAAGGATAGTTACAGTCTGGTGAATCCTCCAATTTATTAAACTGTTGAAAAGAAATGGGGACAAATTTCTATTCTAAATGGCTCCGTGTTTACTCATGCAGCGATTTAATTTCAGTAATAGCTGTTGAAATGGAAGAAGAGACATGTTAGGATTCATACGAGTGTCTGGGCTTAGCTGAACAGACTAATACTTCTTCTCATTAGCTTTAATCATGTGTATAAAGGAGCAATGTGCCATGAGGGTGACCTGCTGTGAAATGAGATTTTGTGTGTGTGTGTTTCTAACTTTAACTGGAGTACCCTGTCCTCAATGGGCGAGGGGAGATTTAATGGGTGACTGATCCGCACACACACACACACACACAGAAACACAGACACACGCACAGATTATAACTAAACTGTCATGGTCTAGTCTGTGATTGCCTGTGGGTTAACAATTCCTGCCCTTGTCAGCTTTCTGGAATGTGGAGTGGGTGTGCAGTGATGCAGTTTTCAGACGTGTACATTTTTAGAAACAGCAGTGGAGTTCAACATTTTATGAAGGATGCTTTCATTCTTATTCACTCTGCAAGAATCGCATGAGAGGTTTGATATCACTTGTGTCCGTGTTGTAGGGTTGAGGTGATTAGCTTAGCTTAGGCTAAAGACTTTTATTTTAATCAGTTCATCCGAGAGTTGAAGAGTAAAATCTAATTCCCTCGCTCCTGGGATAACGCCAAAAATGTGAAGTTCAAGATTGGATTTCTTGTTGCACTAGTGCCGGAAGCAACACAGCCTTTGTTTTCAACAGGACCATTTGAAGGAGCTGTGGGAATATTTATGACTTTCAGATTTAGGTTTCCCTCTTATTTCGGTCTGAAGTTAACATAAAAGACTCCCAACTCTTTTGAACATAATATTGGGATCCAACTTCTTATCTAAGTAGCAGAAAGCTAAATTTCCAGACTGAAACCATCTTTATCACATTTTTTGCTTGTTGGGCACCAGAATTAGCAGCCCAACCATTTTTTAAATATTTCTACTGCAGTAAGTAAATCTATAAAGGGAAAGTTGCACATTGAGGTTTGAACATGAACCACACGTCTTTGAACTGAGGTGATATTGACTCGGTTTGGACTGATCATATAGATCAAAATCAACATTCATGTTTTACCTTTTCCATGAAGCTGTCCTCTCCCTGAGCAAGAAGTCAGCCCACAACCACAGTGAAGTTGGAAAGGAATAATCAAGGGCAAGGAGAGGCGATGAAGGGAAACAAAAGAAGAAAGAACAAAGTAGATAGCAATGCTACGAATAAACACAGAAACAGAAAAGTAGAAAGATTATGATTTGCTTTTGTATAAATCCACTGATCTAACACACCAGGCCAGAAGGAAAATGGAACAATTTAGAAGAAACAAGAGTAACGATTGATAGTGAAACTCTATCCCAATGCTAAATCAGACTAAGTCAAAAAAGCATGGAGGAAGCAGACAGAAGTGTTTATATTAAGGCCAGAAGAATCTATTTATAAGAACCAGGCTGAAGTGGATCTAACCTGAGTCAGTTTCCCTGTTCTTTAGGAGCTCCCTGCCTATGTTTGAACCACTTCCTCATTCCCCTGGCCCATCATGGCCAGAAATATACAGGCTGAGACATTTTGTGCTCTCCACATATAGGCTCTCTCTCTCTCTGCGACCGAGTTTACCCAGAGGGAGTGAACAAGTCCTCACGTGCACCTGCTCAGGTTTCAGGTAGTGAATTGCTCTGGAGCGAGGAACCGCCGGCAGCATACAATCTGAGCTAAGCTGCTCTGAGTACAAGTCTAACAGAGATTTGTGTTTTACAATCAGGCTTTTAACTAATATGAGAAAAATATGCCTTTGTTGTTCACTAATCCTATCACTTTGAATGTATTCCCCATGTTATAGCTGCTGGATTAGCTTTCCCTTACCAGGTCAATGAGTTTGGTGATGGGGATCTCTCTGATGGGCTTCTTCATGCGGCACAGAGTCTCCAGCGAGGTGCCAAAGCAGCTGGGCAGGTAGTTGCCTGAGATGGTAATGAAGTAGTCCTTGCCACGGTCCAGATGGAGCACCAGAATGTCCTCTATGGAGTCCTCTGCAGAGTTCAGCAGCGTGACCGAGTCTTTACTGACGTACACCTCCAGAAAAATCTCCAGGGTCTCAGCTGGTCAGGAAGATATAGCAAAGGTTCACAGAGAAACTTCCTGAGGAACATTATGAGAACATTTTCATAGGAGCTGCCTCTTAATTCTTAATTCATCTCAAACTAACGGAACATTATCTCACAAGAAAACATGCATATTTTGAAACATGCCTAATTTATCATCCACTATCCAAGTACAAAAACAAAGAGAACATTAAATTGTAACACTCAGGAATACTGCATGAACCTTCACAATATTCAAAATAATCCCTTCAGAGGTAAGCTTAGGATATGTCACAGGACAAATCTGTCCTTAAGACTAAATCTATAAATTTATAATCTCCTTTTTGCAATGTAATATTTTAGGTTTCCAAAATATTACATCACCATGGTTTAAAATTGGAGGTAACGAGCCAAAGAACAATGAAAACAAAGGGACTTAATGAAAGGACTTACAGGGCTCTAAGAATCCATCACTTGGCTCGGCACGCAGCCAGGGTTTGCAATATTGTGAGTCATTGAGTTTGGGGATGAAGGCGAAGTGGCAGGGGACCTGCCCGTCATTGGTTATTAGGAAACGCTCCTTTTGAAGCTGTCGGAACTTCACATTCTCAAATGCAAACTGAAGGACATGGAATAAGAAGAAACATTAATAACACACAGACTATTCTGGTTATTAGCCTGATATACACTGCTCAAAAAAATTATACAATGTACATCAGTCAAAATTTTTAACTTATATAATTTGTTCATTAAGATCTGATGTGTGATTTAAGTGTTCCCTTAATTTTGAGCAGTGCATATGACCTGAGGAGGAAAGATAACACAGGCCACGAGTATGATGAGCACACACATATTTGAGGACTTTATTCTTACCTCTCGCCGGCTCAGAGATACAGATGGAAGGAAATCATTCTCCATTCGGTCCATCACTCGAACAATCTCCTCAAACACCTTTTTGTGCCGCTGCTCATTTATAACCTTTACCTGGTACACAAACACACAGGTCCTATTTATGGATTTTTATCAATACAAAAATATTTTATTACATCAAAGTCCAGTGAAAATTGTTGACGTTGCATGTTTTAACCAGTTTTGGTTAAGATTCGTATTTGACAACATAGTCTCTTACCCCTACAGTGAAGAGGGAGCTGACGGGTTTGTGGTCACTTGTTTGAAGCTCCATGCAGCTTCGGTATTTGAGCTGCTTGACATTGTTGCCCCTCCAAAGGATTCTGTCACACCAAGCCGGGACACGGCATTTCCCACTGCAGGAAACAGTTGTGATTTTTAAAAGCAAAGTCAGAGGTGAGACATGGGACTGAGCAGCAGTACTGCTGACTCCGTGTTACTGTAACGATAAGGCCCGGAAAATGCTTCTTCCCTCACAAACTTAACTTCAGAAAAAGTGAAACTGATCCAACACAAATCCTGGAGTGAGCTGTGCAGTCAATGATTTGCAAACAGATACAACACGGAGATGTGTTTTTACCTTGAGTCCCATCGATCTGTTTTGGGGTCGTACTTGTACGTGGGAATGAAGTTAATATCTCCCTCCATGAAATCTGTGAAGGCTCTCTTCGTCTGCCTCTGAATGTTCAGCTACACATGAAAAGCAGCAACATTGCAAAGCGTTAGTTGCTGAATGAATCAAACAGTTTACAAACTACTGTTTACTCCGACTGTTACTGATTTCCTGATATAAGTTTGTGCTTATCGTTGCACATCAAACCGAAACAGAGAAAACACATTGATCTGGATGAAGAGATTCACCTGATCCACCTCCTGAAGCTTCTTTAACTCATTCTGTGAAATGAGCTGCTTGACTTCAGCAGCATCATACATGAACAGGCGATAATTCAAATCCCCGAGCCAGATCACTACACTGAAACACAAGAAGAGACAGAGAGAGTTCAAAAGAACAGAATTACAACGACAGCATTGTAGTGAATGTAATTTAACTCAAATACAATAAAATCTTGTCAAAGAGAGGTTTACTCCATAACTCATATTTGTAAAGCTACTGAAAACAGTAACTCTGATAAACTTAATGTTTTTAGTATTAAGAACCATTTATCATAGAATTCAGTGTTATTGCAGAATGCTGAACAAAACAGAATAAACAACCACAATTCAGTTACAGCTCATGGGGAAAAATTAAAAAAACTGATGATACAATTATAACCGATGAGAGTAAAATCAAACATTAATCCAGAGCCATGTTCTCGCTCTGAACATCAATGACAGAGAAACTCACTCGTGCTTGACGATACTGAGAGGGGGGTGTTCCAGTAAGTGGAAGGTCATGCGGGCACATATGTCTTTGTAGTCCTGGTTGCGGCGCTCAAAGTCTTCCACGTGTGCTGCTAGATGAGAGTTTACAATGCAGAAACTCGTGTTGTGGAAAACGAACCTCACAGCAACGCCTCCTTTGTTCCCCTGAGAGAGAAAATTGATTTTATCAAGGCCTTATTTTAATCTAAGTGTACGTGTAAAAAAAGTCATCCGAAAAAAACAAGCGATAATGACTCATAGAAGCAGATCATTTGGTGCCAAGTTGTAATGTTTCTCTCATGACACTTCAAAAGTCACCATTTCACTTTCTGATAAATACAATTGTGAAGTTTTCCAATTTGTTTTTGAATTTTGCTCTGAAAACAAAATGAATGCAGATGGATGTCTTGCTCATGACTTTGTTAATTAGCAGGATCTACACAAACTTCCAGTGATATTTGTTGAGAAATAAATGATCTGCTCTACATTCAACTGCAGATCCAGCTAAACTAAATTCCTCATCAGTCCCTGCACACAAATGCAAAAAAAAAAAAAGGACATGGCCTATTTATCCCAATGGTTTTTATTATTATTAACATTTTGTATTTTAAAGCAGTCAGTCTAAATTTAAGGTGAACTAACCATTTTCCCCATGATCCCAGTCCCAACATGCTCTGCAGCCACTTCTTTAATGTGATTTTTGTGAATCTTTTTGACAAAGACCACAAGCATCATCCCAACGAGTCGTATGATCCGAACCTGAAGAGATAAAAAAAAAAGAGCCATGTTAGCGCTTATTCAACGTAAAGAATAGTAGAATGTACTCTATAAGGAGGCATTTCTTCTACCCACCCTCTTGTACTTGGCTTTTGGGTGCAAACTTTTCTCCACAGCTTCCACCCATATCTGCTCCTTGGACGAGTCCATGTAGAAGAAAGCTTCAGTGCTCAGGTCCAACTCTTGAAAACTAAACCAAGTCACCATATAGGTTGTTATTAATCAAGAAAATAAGACAGCTGTGTACAGCTATATGGTCAGAAAACTGGAGTATGATTAATGGTAACTGACCCCAGAGCATATATATCAGGAGGTTCTGTGTCACAGGAGAGCCATGGCTCAAGGGTGTTGTCTGGAGACTGACCGTTCACGTTCCACGTACCTGTGAAAAACCTAGAGACAGGACACACAGCGAAGAGTTAGTGGTGGCAGGAGGAAGTACAGAAATATAAAATCATTCACAGAATAAATATGCTCCTCTCACCTAAATGTTTGGATGTCCACATATTCATTCTCCTTCTTGCCCAGACGGTGTTTGATGAGGTATTCTCTTTGGCCTGCCTGGCTGGAGAACATGGTCTGCCTCATGCTGTTGGTGGTGGGGCTCTCACACCAAGATGGTGGTCGGTCCAAACGATCAAACCCACCTGACCTGAAACTACTGAAATTGAAACAGTGGGCATTATTTAACACCAGCACATTTAGCGTTCATTTACCCATCAATATAAACTCAGTAGACCATAATGATGAAGTGAAAATATATTTTAGACACTTTTTTAGACAAAGTGTAGAATCTGAATACTTTCTGAAGCCATTATATGAAATGTAAACAATTTTAACTAATTTAAAATACATTTACAACGACCACTTTTCATTTCAGCTGTTCTGATAAGTGAACTTACTCTGGCTTGGTGTTTAAGGAGTTGTCTTTGGCCTGTATGGAGACAGATCTCTCTTTAGGGACTGGTGCAGGAGGCAGAGGATTGGATGGAGTGTAAGAGGCTTTGCGAGGAGGCAGAGGGGGAACGGGAGGAGGGTCCCTGGAGGCAACTATGCGATTCTGGTGGTTCTTCTTTTCCTCCACTTTGAGAGCGTGGTTGAAGCTGTCTTCAAAGCCAAAGTCTGAGGCAAGCGACTGAGCTGGATCTTTAGAAATAGCAAGTTCAAAAATACACTATTGAATACAACATAAACTATTCTGAAGAAATTATAACTAAAAAGGTTTATTTTAAGGCTTTGTTTTCACAGAAGCTCTAATTTATACACCAGTTTGACTTTGTATGCTACCTGTCTTTGTTGTAGTGCTGTTGTGGTGGTTGGGAGGCAGTGCAGGGACAGGTTTGGATGGGTTACCTCCAGGGCCAACAGAGTTAGCAGGCTTGTTTATTCTTTGTGGTGGGATGGGGACCGGACCCCTCGGAGTCGTTGGGGCGAGGGGCTCCATCGCTTTTAGTTTTGGGACTTTCGGTTCAACTGTGAAGATTGAACAGGATTGTTAGAGGAAATAATCCAAATAATCCATCTTTACAGTTTAAGGGTGGTTTCTGTTTGTACATGCAAATTACAGTAGGAACATCTTCCCAGGAACTAACTGAAGATGTATACAAAACAAACAATATGGGTGCAACAGCTGGCTCAATAAAAGATACTGAGATATCATGAAGCTACATTGAAATATGAAACCTTAAAGTTTACTCATATAAAACCACATCCTGTTTCAGCCGTCCTGTCAATATAAATATGATGTCAGATGAAAATGAGCCAACACCCAGAAGCGCTATGCTGTTATTACGGGAAGTAGAGCTCCAGTTAACAAGTGACCAGTTGATAACAAGACTGAAGAGGGCACAGTTCCACTGCTGTGTGACCGAGCTGCTGCAGGATTTTACCAACATGAAATCATGCAAATGATAAGTGGTGCACGTGAAACTGGGTCAACAGGTTCTTATTAGTTCAGCTCACACACATTAAGCACTTGGATTACATAATGTCCTGCTATGACCTCCATGACAAGAGTACAGGATGCTCACACTGTGAGTTCGTTTTCGTCATTACTATGCAAATGTATGAAGCAAGTTTGTTCACAAGTCAGTTTCCTCCAAATTAAATCAATTAAGCCTTTAATTATAAAATATTATTTATATCAATGTGTTCATATTTGCATGTAACATAATTAATCATTATTTATTCTAGCCTGCTACAATATCAAAATTTCCAGTCCAATTACTTTTAAGATCAAGAGGATATCTTGAAAACACTTGATACATTAACAGAATAAATATGTCGTATTCTGCAAAATATTTACTATTTTTTCACATTGAGATACTCCAGTGAACCTACACATCTATTAACAGAAAGGAAAACACTTGTTGAACAAGGTTTACAGATTCTTATCAAGCCTAGCACGGCTGGATGATCTAAATCTTTTACTGTGAAGACTGAGTAATTAAAACCTGCTCCACAACAATCCTCAACTCAGATCAGATATTTAAATTTGAACCGCCATCCCAGAGATAAGCAGCAACCTGCATAAAAGGTCTGTTACACTGCTAAGATTTAATAAGTACTCCGTTCACTTCATTGTTGTTATAATTGACGTCTATTTTAAGCTTGAACTGGTTGTGCACATCTTGTTTGTCCTGATGCCACATCGCTGCGTAGTACCGACAAAAGAAAACACCAACCTCGCCATAAATTACATCTCTTTTCATTGACCAATTCAAAATGCTCCCAAAAGGAAATTCCGACTACTATGAATTTTGTCATTGTGCACTGGACTCACTGCCTTCTCTAATGATTTGAGTGGGAAGGAAAAGTTGATAAACATAACTCATTCTCTTGAAGACTGTCAGTTACACAGACAAAACAAATAAAGGCGAGTCACATTTAACAGCGGATCTCATCTCAAAATCACCAGCGAATGTGGCGGGAACACACAGGAAATAAACGAGTGGTGTAATCCACCCTCTGTAACTGAATGTTACATGAGCGATTCAATAATTAATCATCCAACTGCTTTGGTCTGTTGACAGACAGTAGAGTCTTACCTTGCTGCTGCGCACTTTTCAGCTGGGTTAAGAAGGTTTGAGTCCGATCATCATCCTGCAGTTCCAACAGCAGCTCGGGGGCTTTTTCACCTTTAATTCGTACCCTGACAAAAGCTTGAGATGGGTACAGAAAACACACACACACAGGCATCTTCAGACTTTGCAAATACTGACCATCTAGAAAACAAAGCAAAGTGATTTAGAAGTGAACCATTTCAGCATTCTTTCAGAGTGCCCTGGCAACTCAGGACCTGCCTCTGCTAATAAATGAAGACATTTATCTGAAAGGATGCTCTAAAAATGGAGGGTGGTTGAATGGAGGCTTTGTTGATGTAAAAGGACCAAAACAGAATCTGACCACATGACAAAAAGGAAATAGGAAGTATTTAACCTAAAAGGAAGTTAAAAGTACTTACAATTCACCGAGAAGTCAATAAGGAGAGCTTCATCTGCTTCTAAAATGAAAAAAGAACAAGAGCTCAAACTGAGCCGATGTGGTTCAAAGGTCTGTGGTAGTAATGTAGAGGTGTAAAAGATTTCAAAAGGTCACGTGTTGATTTTTGAACGTTATCTTCCAGGTGCCAAGGAAATACTTCCTGCAGCTTTGCTTTTACACCTCTGAGCCATGACCCCAAGTGAACGGTAACACTGCTATGCATCGGGGTAAAGAATGTGAGGTCCAATGCCACAGGCTGGACAGGAATCACTTACATCTGACAGAAGACTACACACTGAACAGTTTGTAGCAGCTGGTAACTTAAAATATCTGAACATTTCATCATACTGAACATACATGAAATAGTTAACATTGTCAGTGTTTCCCCTACTACAGCCTTGGGGCAACATTTGGGACTATAAAAGTACAAACAAGCTTTCCAACCACTCATATGACATCAACCAAATCTAAAATTCAGGCCAAAACATCAGCTTTTTTTAAACCACGTGCAATCTGGTGACAGCTGTGAGGCTGCTGGTCTGTGCTGTTGATAGCAGGAGAGTGAGTCCGGCCCACATCAGTAGCAGCTCTCCTGGTGTTACAGCTACACCCCACAACAAGATCAGGAGGACAGATCTTACAATGTGTCCTGAATGTGTCTCCTGTGACCCCTTTAGATCAGATTTCACTTCCCCAATCTATATGCAAATACACACGCATATGCAAATGCAAACATACGTGATTTCTGTTGACGATGATCCAAATTATGTTGGTCTGATTTTACAGATGACAATGTGTTTGTGACTGTGTCGAAATCTGTAGCAGGTCAGAGGGCGTCAGCTTGATGTGTGGCCCCAGGATGCATTTGAGTTCCTATTGCTAAAAGAATATGGCCACATGCGTCCTAAACCCCTTCTGAACATTATCTGAGTGATCTGATCTCAAACACATTGAGGACTCATTTAAGAGTATTGAGACCTGTACTGACTCAGGTTGGATGTTAATAACAGGTCTGAACAGGGTCTGAGAGTAAGTATTCCTCCTGACTCAACAAGTCCGATATGGGAAAGGTTGGGTGCAGAACTAGATACAAATTTATACAAAATAAAACTCCAGACCTTGTAAACTGTAAACAAACTGTTCAATTTGCATCTATACAGAACAAAACAAAAAATCCCCCCCAAAAAGCATACAACCTAGGCAGTAACACGGATTTTGATATTGAGGACAAGAAAAAAAGTCACTTACCTCGAACTATTTCAAAGTTACCATTGATGGGTATAGACAGCTGAGCCACTGGACGAGACACGACAGCGTCAGGGGTGGCCAACACACCCAATCTGGATGAAAACAGCATAGACTCTCACTTAACATCAGCTCTGGATGATTTCAAATCATTTAAGAAAGAAGAAAATCATTTCAAAACAAGCTGCAGCTTTTTTCTCATGACAGCCGCTCTTTTTCAATTGAAGTTATGTTTCATGCATAAAGTGAATAGGGAGATATGTAGTACAGGGATAAGATTAAACTATCGAGTGATTAAAACAGATTTTCAGAAATCTTTACACATGCTCACATGCAAAAGTCTGATTTAGTTGAAGTAGCAGTTCAGTTAATTTAGTTGTAAATGAAACAGTGGCACAAAATGAAGTAACATGCATGACACTTCCACTGAAAAAAACTGGAGCACAATGAGAGGAGCTCAGCCTCAGGTAATTAAACTAGCTTCCACTCTGTGATAAGGGTTAACGTAGGCAGGATCATATTTCAATAACAATGACTGACTAACAACCAAGGTCCATGTAGCAAACTGGGTACTACCCACCTCTCCTGTCCATTTCACTATTCATTACTTCTGAGAGGAAATTGATTCAGCCTTGCTGCAATAAACGTGTCAGAGAGATTTGCAGTTACCCGGAAAGAACAAGGGCCTTCTGATGATGTAAGCTACATGACAAGGAACACCAGAGAACACCCCCCTTCCTTTTCAGGGCGGTGGACAAAATAATGGAAATGACTTACAATACAACCGCCCTGGATTAAATAAGAATATGGTGGCTTGTAATGTCCAGTTTTACCTTGAGGTGATCATTTATAACTTCTATTATCTGTCCTCTTTGAACCTTGTTGTCAACACATATATTAATAGTTTCAAACAGAATAGTCTAAAAATCTTAACAATAAAAGCCAAACATAAGAAAAGCTGCCCTGGCAAAGACAACAAGGAACTTCTATACAACACCGGCATGAAGACACTTAATGAGATCAAATATTACCTACACAAATAAAAGAGCTGACAGTTTCAACTGATACTGTCAGATTTACATTTCTTCTGCAGGGCTGTTGTATTTTTATTTGTACAGCACCAACTGAATATCTGATAGCACCTGGTTTCCATGACTGGACTACAGCTGAGTTTAGTAAATGTGGCTTTAACACAGTTAGCTGAGCAAGAAGCTTGTGTGCCCATGTGAATCTCATTACAGCCCAGGACTAGCTGAGCTGGCTACTGCTGGGCCTAATTGCTTTCTCCCTCATGCTAGCGCATGCCACAAACTTCCACAAACGCTGTCGTGAGTGTGTAGGTAGCTCCCCCCATCAGCTGGAGACTCAGGGTTAAAATTCTTTTAATGCAACACTGAACCAAATCACTACAGCTCCATGGTCAGCTCTGCCTTGAAGGTGACTTTCTGACTCCTGGAAAGAGGGTCAGTGAGGAGTCACTGAAACCTACAGCAAAGTATTAAGTGTACGACTTTGTGGCCATAACATGCAACATTTATTTTAGTTGCTCGGGGGCTGAAACACCCAAAATATTGCAGTTTTGGTTAATTTTCTAATACACTGTTACAAGAAGTGCCTCCAACAGCATAATGCATATCTAATTATATACATTAGAGAAGAAAACCAACGCTAAAATCCAATAATCAACACTGTACAATCTGAATCATCTCTTCTATTATTCAGTGTGGCATCGTCATGTTTCTATAAGTGCTATATGCAGGACACTGGAGTTGCGTTAAGTTCTCATCCAGGCTCAACCTTTTATCCAACAGGCTGACGCAGCATCAGTTCGAGCAGTCTAATGTGAGGACGTGGGCATTTAACCACGAGTGGGGTCCTTAACACTTTTGAGAGTCGGTGAGGGGCACATGTGAGTCACTGGGGTCAAATGAGTCATTGAATGATTGGGTGTTGAGCTGTCTTGGGGGTGATCTCAATAATTTGTTGTGACTGGCTGATGAATGGAGTTGTTTAGTGATGACTGCCAGTTTGACGTAGCTGAAGCTGATGCTTTCCAGATGAAACGTCTTTGAGAATTTCAAGCAAGTCCAGTTACAGTACGGCACAGTACTTAAAAACACCATAAACAGGAAGCCAACCAACATCACCAACACCTTATCAAAGTAAACTCTGACTAATATGGTAATACAGTTTGAGCTACCTCAAAACAAGTTAATTTGCATTTTAAACACAACATTTCCATTTGACCTGAGAGCAGCAGAGCCATCCGATGCATGATAACGTAGACTTTTAAGACAATTCCAGGAGAGGAGGCCCGACACTTCAGACAGCCACCAACTAACGTCAAACTAACACAGCGGTCAAACACCTGGATTTCTTCACAATAAAGCAGATGAACATCTGTGACGTCTCACTAGCTTAACCTACGGCTTGACAAAATAACACACACGTTCAGTCACCAGGTTCACTGATACTTACATAAACTCTCCACTGCGCTCAATAAGTGACAGTAGTCTGGACTCCTTCTGGCCAGACCTCAGCTCCTGACCTCTCACAGTGTGAGCAGCACAATCAAGGAATTATTGTGGATGAAGATGATAAAAAATGGTTCAGACACATCTGAACTGAGATGGGTTTTTTAAATGAACCACAGGCAGGTGCCTCGCTGTCATTCTCAAGTTAGTACTGTGTGTGGTTAGTGTGGAGATATTCAGAAATGGAGATCTCTGTGAGAAGAAGCCATGCTCATTAGAAATCATGATGCAAACCAATGTGAGAGAGATAAGTAAATAAAGTTAAACTGAATGATGACAGAAGTCGTTGTGTTCCAGAGCAAGTGTGTTAAATGGCTGGCTGACCGTGGTGGCATGATTTAGTATGGAGATTAAATAAAGGGGGAACGTGTGGCTATAAAACAATCATGTGGATTAACTCTTATTAGTTTCAGTGTTAGTACAAATATTCTCAGGTTAGCCGAGTAGCTAACATGAACACTGTCTGATTGCTAGCGTGGGCTAACTCAAGCTGAAACACACAAATAAAGAATAAGGATTTAACTTAATTCAAAAAAAGGATATTGCCAAGCATTCCTCCTCGCTCATCCCCAGAGGCGTGTCCATTCTTACCGATGTGTTATGATACGTTTATCGGTGTCTAAAGCGACTTTCTGTCGGTTCAGTCCGGGACGAGGCGGCCGGAGAAAGTTAAATCCACACCGGGTGCGGCAGCGCCAGCAGCGGCCTTTCCGGTGTGCCTGTCTGAGTGGGTGGTTGCTAACGCTCGTTAGCTCGTTAGCCAGCTGCTGTTGTTGCTGCTGCTGCTGCTGCTGGACGGGCTCACAATCTCCAGCGGAGCCGAGAAGCCCTAAAGCCCCGGCGAGTGCGCGTCGTTCAGTCGGAAAGCTTCAGGCAGCTCCGCCGGCTTCTCGTGTGTACCGCGCGGTGTCAGGGAGCACGCTGGCCGGGATGCATAGTCGGCAGTGAGCGGCGGGTTTCGGCTGGACACAGTTCGATGCTGACAGGATTCTCTCCCTGCCGAGTTCTCCAGCTTCGTCGCCGGCAGGTTTAACCGTGGAATGAGCGTCACAGCGCCACCGTGTCCCTCAGAGTGTGAACGACAGACTGAGACCAGTTCAGTCTGTATTGAATAAAACAATACAGCATTGGTAATTAATAAATAAGTGAAAATACAATTCAAATATATAAAGTGTGCCATAAATACAAATAAGAATATAAAGTTAAAGGTCCAGTGTGTGAGGTTTAGGTGAGAGGGAACTAGTGGCAGAAATTTAATGTAGAATAATCCTCATGATGTTTTCACTAGTTCCTTTCATCTAAATTGTATGAGTTATAGTTTTCTTTAACCCAGAAAAGTCCCTTTATATTCAAATACTTTATATTTAAATCGAGGGGACCCTCTCTACGGAGGCGGCCATGTTTTTTTACATTGGTCCAGACTGGACAAACTAAACACCTTTTGAGTTTTTATGACAATTAAAGGCTGCAACAGGTTCTTTTTCATGTTTAGAAGGGGAGGCTGAGATGAGGGGTGTTCAGCTGCAATATGCAATTTCAACACTAGATATCACAAAATTCTACTGTAACTTCAAAGTTTCCTCCAAAGTTAAGTCCCAGTTACAAATCCTCCTCTGCAACCTTTGGCCACATTACTCACAACTCCACATGAGGTTATTTTCTCTGAAGAGCTAGTTTTCTGGAAAGTTCTTGTTATAATTTCCTCTACAGAGATACTGTACATTAGGCAGCTTAAAAGAAAGTTATACCATTCATAACCTTAGATTTCACTTAAAACATAATTTCTTAATTTAAAACTAATGGCACCTCACATGGCTGTCAGACAAGATTGAGTATTTCCCATTCAGATAGTATCCCACACTTTTAATTAATAAAGCTTACAAGTAACAAACATTAAAAGTTTCTTCATTGTACTTATACGACTTTATAAGTTACATAGCAATAAACTGTGACCACTTTATTAGGTATACATTTACAATTAAGTGCAATACAACATCACTGCCATACTATTCCTCTTTAAAAGCACAATATCTTCAGTTTTTGGTGATACTGTCACAAATGTGAAAATTCAATTATATATATTAAATATAGGTCATATAGTTACAGATGGCCTTTTACTGGACCATGTTATGGTGAGAGGTTTTCTGAATTGTTGTCATTTCCATTTCCAGTACAGGATGAGCTCAATGCTAAAACAAGCAGTTTCATTAACACCTTTATGAAACAAGAGAACAGTTATACTGGTTTGCAGCACAGATGCACCTAATAAGAGGATACAGTGCCTCCAACATTCGATCTATTTTATAAAATAAAATTGCATTTGAAATAAAAACAAATCAATTGATGTTAATTGTCATAATGATTAACTATGTAGTAACAGAGCACATTGATTAAATGTCTGCATTAGTTAAGGATGCATAGTCAGGTTAATTTAAAAATAAAGCTTCATGACTTCTGTCAGTTGTCGTCAGTTTGAATCTTGTGAATGGCGTAAGGGCTGGAGTCTCCACGTGGCCAAATGTCTCCGTTGGGCAGATCCCTCATCCGTTCCACCCCACGATCAACCATCTCTACCGTCAGCGTGGAGGGGCTGAAGATGTCCGCCGTGCGATAGGACTTTGTGAGTCGACAGAAGGACGATGTGTCTGAGATCTCCTCGTCGTAGAGGTCCTCCATGAGCTCGCTGCGCTGTCTGCGAGACACTTTCAGCTCGTCCTTCAGGTCAGAGACCAGGTCCTTCACATCTCTGACTAGTGTGGAGCGGACACCAAACAGGCAGAGCAGGAAAACCAGACCAGCACAGATACCGGAGACAAAGTACAGAGCCACTTTCTCTGGTAGATCTGGAAGAGAGGAGGATGACAGATGAGGAGAGAGGATCCTGGGTTATATTAGTTTAAAAATCTATTTGTATCACATGCAGCAAATTAGCTCAGATATCTGCAACAAAATCTTCAACTGGTATTTTATGATAGGATAATCCTTTATACTTCCCACAAAAGGAAAATTACTATTTTCATTAAGTATAATTACTCATCTGTCAAAGATATCAACAGTTCTTAACTAATGCAGGATGTAAACTTACCTTTAAAGTGAAGATAATACAATAGATATCATATCAGGGTTTCAATTGCATTACTAGGCCTTGTTATTATAACTTTAATAAAAATGTAAAAATGATTAAATGTTCCCTATCAACACTTTCAATATGTGCAATTTGATTTTAATATTGCATTGTATTAAAGAATGCTCTTATTGATCTAAAAATCTCTGGCATGCATACATTTTCAAAAAACGTATTTATGCAAAAATAATTGCAAGAAAATCTTTGACATCTGAGCTACAATGATAAGAACTGTACATGCAACCCCAGTGCACATACCCAAGATTTTTTCAATGATCTCCAGAGAGTTGGTAAAGATCACGTTTTGAGGCCTGTAGATGGGGCCAGTGTACCATCCACCTGCAGGTGAGAGGGGCCTGGACTCAGACCATAGACTGTGTATAAAAACCTCAGACACCAGTCAAACTCTGCTGCTGGACAACCTGTCACCACTCAGTCTCACTCTCACCGTGTGTGTAGTCTGAAATCAAGAAAGGATCTGTGGACCCTCGACCCACGTCTTCCAGAAGATACTGAGGAACTAAAGAGAAAAAGAGATTTTTAAATAATTACTTCAAACCATGTCACCTCGGCCTCAAGCAGTGACTTCCCCTGTCACTCACCACAAGTGAAGGACACCCGCAGGTGCTTCCTGGTGCCGGGAAAACACGGATCCCCAAAGGTTTGAGTATCGGCCAGGAGTGAACAGTTTGCTCTACCGTGACACTTGCGGGACACCTTCCTCAGAGCCAGCGCTGACAGACACTCTGTAATGAATAGAATAGAAGAGAATAGAATGCCTTTAATGTCATCACACAATGAAGCAAATTACAGCAGCTACCACTGAAAGGTGCATTTAGTAAAAAAGAGAAATAAAATATAACAATAAATAATGAATGAAGATGGATCAATGAATCATTATAACTGAAAAATAAATGTTTTATCGTTAAATTATCTGATCAACAAACACTGTAATTGAGATTAAACCATTTTATCAGAAAATGTATACTTCTTCTTATCAAATCTCTCATTGCTGTAAACATAGAGATGAATGGGGCAGAGGAATTATTCATTATTTTCCACCATGCAACTGAAGTTTGCTCATTATTTGGCCATTAGATGGTTTATAAGTTCCCTGTTTCAGACCCATGTCTTTGTGTGATCCAGGTTCCTGAGGACAGTAGGGACTTCCGTGCAGCAGGTGTCCAAAAGAGGCCGAGTAGATGGCGAGGACGGTCTCATTTTTACACATCAGCCTCAGACGCTCGTTTTCACACACAAGCCTTGTGCGATGGTGCTCTGAAAAATAATAATAATAAGTAATTTACTTGTATTCATATAATTTACTAGTATTCATATATTGCTGTGATCCTTCCAGGCAGCAATATGAGCCCTTCACAGATATACTCAGTACATATTCAGTATCAGCCTTTATTTGCTGATATGAAAACTTTTATTCAACAGAACAATCAATGCAATTTTTAAAAATGAATTTTCTTAATTTAAGCCCTAAATATTTGACTATATTTGTGTTTGCTTTTTATTTAAAGTTATGTATGAGTCCTTTATTTATAAGCCCAATATCAAGCCTCAATTTATTGTGACATTTTAAGAATAATTACCAGATTAAAACAATATATATATCTAATCTAGTCCCCAGAAATCCATATCGGTTCGGCTCTAATTTGTATTTGTGTCGATAAAACAAATGGCTGCATCAGATTTTCCAGCACAGTGAACTTTGTCAAAGTTGTTGTTGTTGGGCTGGATGTGAGCACATCACATGATCGTGACATTGAAAGATAGTGACTCAAGATAATCTTTCAAATAGGTTTTTAGTCAGAAAAGGTCAATTAGTTTTGTAGCAAGATCTTGTGATGGCCACTATAGACAGGAGGGATGATTTTGAATTTTTGCCAAAAATATGACAATGATGGGACTGGCTCACTTTTTTTCGTATCTTTCAACCATGTGACATCAGCTTCCTTTTGCTCTGTTGTCATGAAGATGTCCGAGACGGACAAGACGTCCTTAAAGTGGACTGGAACAGCTGATATCTCTTTGACAACTGAGTGCAATCAGTCTGATCCATGTGTGTATTACTCTCCACATGTTTGATTTCAGGAGCAAAGTGTCCTACCTGGTCTGCACTTGTAGGAGACGAGGAGATACTTGCTGGTGAGTGGACAGGGGTCTTGTCCAAACACTGCACTGAAGACAGGGATGTGACAGGAGCGTCGATCCTGACACTCTGACAGCACTTTCTGCAAAAAGGAAAGAATGTTGAGCGCACCCACCTGCAGCATGAGTCACCCAGTTCACATTCATCTCCCAGTGACACACATCTATAGCAACCGGTGAAGTGCACGCTGTGTCCTCGTCCACACTCGTGTTTGTGTTCGTAGAGGGACATAAATGCCGATAAGGCACTCGTCGTCCATAGAAAGCTGACAGGACGGCCACAGACGTCCTGGAGGGACAGTCGATGACGAGTGTGCTCCCTTCACATGCATGAGCCGTGTGGTTCTTCAGGATGGTGTGAAGATATTCTGAAAGAGAACATCAGGGGACATCATTTAGGAACTGTTCAATAGTTTATGAACACACCAGTTATCAAGCTGGGATTTAAATTGACATCATTTCTAGAAAAAAAAAAGACTGTGTGTGAATGTTTCTATGACACTTTCTACCGTACCAACTGTGACGCACTTGCAGCTTTCTTTGCTCCCACTTCATCTCAAACCTGCTCCATGAGCTTTGAGTCTGAAGACAGACGCTTCTGCTCTTCCATCATTTGAAGCCACTGTCATGTTGTTTCAGCTTTGAACCATTTTCTTGCTGTGGGATGAAGCCCTGACAAACCCGTCTGCCCTCCTTTGTTGAGTGAGTTTTTGTCACCATTCTGTTTGTCAGTATACACGGACACATCTATAAGAAGATGATGTCTAATAACCATCGTCAACTCTGGTGTTTATATTACAAATTATATATTACAAGTTAGTTGCACTTATATATTGCACTCACATGTAGCACTTTGTAGTCTGGCTTTTTTGAAGCTTATTGTACTTACATGATTCATGTTGTTCAGGGTTTGTATCCTCATGGTTGAATGAGCTTGTTGTAAGTCGCTTTGGATAAAAGTGTCAGCTAAATGAAATGTAATGTGATGTACAGTTCTACTTCCTGCAGTACTGTATTGTCTTAATAAAACCTCTGAGGATGTAGTTTTTCCAACATTGCCTTTGTACAGACAAAGTTTTTTTTCTATAATAAACCAAAGTTGGGAAGTGAATTTTTAACTTTTTTAACTTTCAGGGCTTCATTTACTTCCTTTGCTGTTAAGGCTCTGAGTTAACCAGCCTTTTCTATGAAATGCACAGAATTGTTCAGTGTTTGGTGATCCATAATTAACTTTATCTTAGCTTTAACATTACCATGGGCCGTTAGCTGCTTGTCTTTGCACTTTTTAACGTTATTCCCTGGACTTGGACAACTTAAATGTCAATGAAAACGGGACAAATTGGGGAGTTCTACAAGTGGAAAAAATCTATAGTGCAACTTATAACAAAGCAGGCATACAAACCCAGTGAATAGTCACCAATGTGTTGCTATTATTGATACAAAGGCTCATATCTAATCTCTAACACGGCAGTTAAATATGTCACTCACCTAATTCAGTTATATAGATAAGTCTGACTCCTGACTGACGTCAGTGATGCGACAAGAGTTTCATATCTGATTTATAATTAGCAAGGCCGTTATTTCCAATGACAAGTAGACTAAATTATTATTACATAAAGATACATAAGTTATGAGTGCTTCATTGTTCAAATTGCTTTTTTTAGTTACTGCATCCCAGTCCTGCTTGTCACTGGGTGTTGTCTCAGTCAGTGGGTGTAGCTGTCCAAGAAAATGATTTTGACTATGACCACACACGCAACCATGCATGACACTGAGGTCAGCCTCCCCTCCCATGGGTGCTTCCTGTACGCGCCCCCCAATGTGTGTGTGGGTGTGTGTGTGTGTGTGTTTGTGTGTGTGTGCTGTTTAAAGCTTCACAGAGCAGATGCGAGACAGTACCAGGCACTCACTCACAATGAACTATTATTAGGCCGCTGAGAGGCTGCAGCCAGAGGGACAGAGAGACTGCAATGCAATGCTTACAATAGTGTCCAAGACAAAAGCTACCTTTGGCTTTCTTGTCTGAATCATTTGTTACTATAATGTTATCAGAGAAGACCAAACATCAAAATAGCTCAACTCATAAACTCAACTCAACTGTGGATTATTTATCACCGGGGGAGTGAAGATCTCAGTTCAGGACCTTTTCACTCTTTACACTCTCACCAGCTGTTTGCACAGCAGGATGTGCACATAATGTTGAGTGTCTTCTTCTGCAAAACTTATGCAACTAAAAATGAACAGCTCAGCATTTTGATTTTCTCTATAACAGAAACAGAAATTGATGAAAAAGAGAACAAAGCACTTACGAGAGAAGTCAGGAGCTGCGTGTGCGGTCTGTGCACTCAGGGTCAGGAGGAGATGTAGGAAACTGAAAGACCAGCAGAAACTCCATGGTACTGTCATCGTGCGTATCCTGCATGACAGACCCCCTGACGTTTGTTGTAATGTGTTGTTGTGCAATTGACTGCCTGGGAGATGGCGACCAGTGGGTCAATGGTGCCATTGTGTTTACAACCGCCCTCCTTTAGTGATAAAAAGATCAAATCCAGTGCTGATCCGGCTGCGCTTGAGATGATGTTGCTCCGATGCTCTTTCTTTATTTCAACAGCAGCATTGTGATAGAACTTTCATTTGGCATCAAACTGTCAAAATGAAACAGGAACATCTTTCCGATGGAGATGACAACAACCTGTGACTTTACTCTGTTGCTCCTGCCAGCGACTCGAGTTAGCTTAGCATAGCATGAACCATGGAACCACAGGAAACAGCGACGATCACTATGTTTAAAAGGAACAACTCTGAGGCAGATTAACTCATTGTATCTACTTTTTTGAAACCCTGACACAAATGAGAGTATATGATAATTTCCATGTCAAAGAAGGTCAATCACAGGTATAAATAATGAAATATATAGATGGCTGAATTTGTTTATGTTGTCTGGGTCCTTGTATTGTCTGTGCTGCCTCATTATAACTGATGATAGAGTGAAGACAATGTTATAAGACATTATTATTAACACTTTTCCTCTCCATCCATCCATCACCGCTTATCCTTTAAGTGTTGAAGCCAATCGCAGCCGACATCAGGCGAGAAGAGGGGCACACTCTGGACAGGTCACCAGCGTCTTGCAGGGCCAACATATAGAGACTGTTTACTGACATCCACATGTGCCAGTTCCAGGAGAACCTGACACAGAATTCAAAATGTCTGCTGATGAAAAGGGCCTTTTTCAGGAGATTGTAGTTGTTGGATCCTTTTGTTGATTAAGTAGAGTCACTTGATCTCAGACCAGTAGACAGGTTAGCTTTTTCCCCTCAAATCCCCCTGATCACCAAGCTCCTGCTCTGTTACTTACAGACAGGACATCATCATCATAAGAAAGCAAATAAGCCATCCCAAATTTCCCAACATGTTGAACTGTGTATTTAATGCCTGACTAGGATCTCTGACCTTCATGTGTGTGTGTGTGTGTGTGTTTGTGAGTGTGTGTGTCTGTGTGTGTTTTGGCAAAATCAATACTCATTGTCATGGAGTCGTCAACAGTGAGGGTCCTGTTTATGGAGATAAGGCTTTTTTTTCCAGGAGGTCACTTCCAGCAGCTGTGTGTGGTCAGAGGAGATATGTGTATCTCTCTCCATGAGACTGGCCTCTCCTATCTTTTTGTCTGCGGAGGAGGAAGTTAAAGACCAATGGTGTCATGCGTTTCCAGAGCTGCTAGTTATTTCCAGGAATTAAATCAGAGCTCTCCCTGCTGCCAGAATCTGCTAGTTTCTGTTTACTGTAAAGGTTGTGATTTTTAACCTTAATTACCTTTGATACACATCCTCTCTTTACTCAAGGCATTGTGACGGCTGCTGTCATACCAACCAAACACTGACTCATAATACCTGTGGAATCATTCACTTCTGCTGAGCTCGGGATTATCAGTGACTAGCCACTTGGGAAGGTGAATCAAAATGAATTTCTGAACAACAGCCCAGTCATTTATCACACACACTCAAACACTCCCTCCACAGCAGTGGACGCACTAATGTAGGCTGATTATTTAACAGGAGACGCCTTGGTTTTAATCATGTGCGTAAGTAGGAGTGACACTCCCACTGTATACTCCAGTAAAATTCCATTTACGTCCCATTGCAAGTGTCAATAAAGAAAGTAATTATTCATTAAAACTGTCTGCTCGCTGTCAGACTGCAGGAGGGGCTGTGCCAACGTGTGGAAAGGGAGAGTTTTACTTCTCAGGTCTCCTACTTGACATCAGTAGACATTTCTTATCACAGGTTAATGTTCTTCATGAAATTTCACAGGTTTTATAGGAATGTTTTAAATGATGATAAGAGATTTTTCCATCCTCCCTCTGGGAGATATACATTCCCTAAATACTCTGAAGATAAATGAGGTGGGTACATGGCACAGGGTCTTGTATCTTCTGGACTATTTCTTTTTCTAAATACTTTCTTATGCGTTGCATTATCTCCCCGGTGTCGTCATATTTCTTTGGGGAAGTCTACACCACAGTGGAGGGATTTCATCATAAAAATTTCCATTTCCTATTTACTGTAAATGATATATTTACAAAAAGCACCAACATTTATCAGCCTGAAATCATTCTTTTAGCTTTTTTTGAAAAAAAACTTTTTTTTTCATATGGCAGCAAAATAGACTCATAAATCATTACTATAAAACTTTTAAAGTGTGTGTCCAGGTGTTTTCTAACATTCCTGTAACTAAAGTAAATTTATGGTTCATTATTAAGTCACACAGATGTGAGACTGAAGGTTACTTTTCAGGAACTAAATGAGATTAGTTGTTGCAACTGTTTTCCCAGAGTCCCTCAGGATACAGTGGCTGCTTTGTATTAAACCAGGGCCCTCCTGTGAAAAGTGTCCCTCCATTTTTCCTTTCTAAACCATCTCCCAGTGTTGGAATGTGAGTGGCTGTTAATGAAATTTGTGTTGTTTTGAGTCACACGTCGTTATCAGTGGCTGTATATTGTAAAATGTTGAGCGGAGCTGCTATTTTAAGCTCTTTCCTCATAGATTTTGGCATGTGGTATATAAGAGCGTGCCCCGCCCATTCCTCTGGAGCCTCCCTCTCCTCTGGCTGGTGAAGTGTGTTCACAGAGATAGCCTCCAAGGAGCCCTCAGACAAAACACAAGCAGCTTTGAGGTGTCACACTTTCTCCTGATATCCACCAACAGAGAGGCACTCGAAGCCAGAGCAGCGTTTGTTCAGGGGCACAGATCATCAGTTTGCTCATCAGCTCTGTGGATATTTCAGGCCTCCACAATAACTCGAGGAGACGCTTTGAGTGGAGAAAAAAAGATTGAATAGACTTTTCTAAGAAGATGGCACTTCGGCAGAACTCTGACAAGGAGCCAACCATCGAGTTGTTCATTAAGGTCAGTCGTTTCTTTTCAGTTTCTCTATTGATTTGTAGAAGAACTATGGCATTTGAGGCAAAACCAAACAACTCTTGAATTCTTGAAATGCTGCTCATTTCGATGAGATACCAGATGTTTGAAGTGTCTGTATTCCTGCTGAAGGTCACAGCTTGTTTCTTTTTTATCTGTGACGTCTGGCCTCCGACAGACAGTCCACCTTATCACCGTCGTACACCCAGAAGGAGCGAGGATCAAGCAGGGTGACTGGCCCCAAGCCTGGGCCGGGCACACCCACTTTTACTTATGCACATAAACTGAGAAGACTCATAGTGCAGTCTATTCAATTTTAATTTTTAACTCATAAAGCACCTTGTAGTTATTTTTAAGGTTCCATTTAAATAAAGTT